AAACTCAGAGAGAGAAATCAGGGAAACACCACCTTTCACAAGAGCATCCAAAAAAATGAAATACCTAGGAATTAATCTAATGAAGGATATAAAAGACATCCATATTGAAACTAAAGTACTCTGTAAAAGGACTTTGAAGAGGATATCAGAAAATGTAGTTATCCGGTCTTGGGTAAGAAAAACCAATAGAGTGAGAATGGCCATACTTCCAAAGCTGTTATACAGATTTAATGCAATTCCAATCAAAATTCGAACAGTGTATCTCACAGAATTAGAGAAAACAATCCTAAAATAGTTTGGAACTAGAAGAAACCTAGAAATGGCAACGGTAATTTTGGGCAATAAAGGCAAAAAGCAGGCATCATAATTGCTGACTTGAAATTATATTATTAAGCTACTGTCATAAAAACAGCATGATACTGGCAAAAACAAAAACAACCAGACCTGATGATCAATAGAACTGATTAGAAGATACAGAAACAACTGCAGACACACTAAGCCACCTTATCTTTAACAAAGGTGACAAACACATTCACTGGAAGAAAGATACCTCTTTAATAAATGGTGCTGGAAAAACTGGTTCTGCACATGCCACAGATTAAAACTGGACATACATCTTTCACCATACACTATACTAAATTCAAAATGGATCAAAGATCTAAATATTAAAATGGAAACACTACATCTATGAGAAGGTAAGAGTAGGTAAAACTCTTTAAGACATTGGTGCAGGCAAAGACTTTATAAATAAAACCCTGATTACACAGGACCTATCACAAAGACCAGGATCTCACCCCTCCTGAAAAGCTTTTGCACAACAAAAGAAACCACCAATAGAGTGAAGAGACAACCCACAACATGGGAGAAAATGTTTGCCAGCTGTACCTCCAACAAAGGATTACTATCAAGAACATATAAAGAACTAAAAAAAAAAAAAAAAAAAAAATCCGTTCTCCCAGATTTAAAGACCCAATCCAGAAATGGGCATCTGAAATGACTCCATACTTCTCAGATGAAGAAATACAAACAGCAAATAAATATATTTAAAAATGTTCAATATCACTGGTCATTCAAGAGATACCAATTTAAAAACACTGAGATTCCACCTCACCCTAGTAAGAATAACTATCACTCAAAAATTAGGCAATAACAAATGCTGGAGGGGTTGTGGGGAAAAAGGAACCCTTCTCGACTGTTGGCAGGAGTGTAGACTAGTACAATCACTGTGGAAATCAGTGTAGAGATTTCCTTAAAAACTAGGATTGGAAGTCCCACTTAACCGAGCTGCTCAACTTTTGAGTATCTTCCCAGAAGAATTAAAAACATCATCCCATGGCAATATATGCACACCCATGTTTATAGCAGCACAATTTGTAACAGCTAGATCTTGGAAACAACCCAAGGAATGGATAAAAAAGATGTGGTCTTTTTATACAACTTGAGACCACACGCATAAGTAAAATAAATACTCACATGTGTAAATACTGTGTTGCCTTCCTAGAGTAAAAAAAGTAACTAAGATCCAAAATGCATAACAGATAGCATAAAACTGGAAGAAACTGTTCAAAAGAAAAAAGGAACTGAGATGGGGAGGGAGCAAATATATACATACAAGTTCATTACAATAGTTATGCTATTAATTTCTCATTGAAAAAAAAGGTTTGTGCTACTATTGTTTGGACACTTAAATGTCTGTATCTTGCACTCTGAGTAACTAATTTAAAGACAACAATACACAACAAATTAAACATTGTTGCTCTCCTCTTATCTTGTTTTGAAACTGTATTTTTTCTCTTTAAAATTTAAAACAATTAAATTTAAAAAAAGAATTCATGAAAGACAGTTTAAAGAAAACAATTCAACCTGAAACTTAGAGAGAAAAAGAATGAAAAATATATAAAAGGCATTTAGGAGAGCAAATATGTCTAACTTACATGAACTGAAGGCCACAAGAAAAGAAAATGCTACGGGTACAAAAGCAATATAAAACAAATAAGCCAGGTGTGGGGGGACAAAGGCCTGTAATCCCAGCATTATTCAGAGTGAGGCAGGAGGATCACTGCAAATTTGAGACCAGACTGGAAGCTCAAGGTAGCCTGAACTGCACAGGGGATCCTGCCTCAAAATGATTATATATATATATATATATATATATATATATATATATATATATATGAAATATTAAGTGCTTTTTAAATTGTTCAAAAATCATCAATCTATAAATTAAAGTAGCTCTACAAACTCCAAACAGAACAAATACAAAGAAAATCATTTAAAGTTGTTAAAATAGCCTAAGCTAAAGACATTTTTGAAGAGCATTATGAGGCTTAATAGATGACTTTGCAACAGAAATGATGAAAGCTGAAAGGCAATGAACTCTTCTAAGTGCTATTAGAAATTAACTGGCAACAGAGAGCTTGCAGCTTTGAAACCAACTTCAAAAATGAACACAAAATGACAATGCTTCTAGGCAAATAAAACCTAAAGAATTCATTGCCAACAAATCTGTACCGAAACAAAAGAGAAAATGGTAAAATATATAAAAATAGATTAGTACTGTATTAACCTAAAGGACACAAGAAAATGAACATAAACACATATTACACAGTGAGTAGATATAAACAGTAAGATGGCAAATTTAAATGCATATATACCAGTAATTACATTAAACAAAGACTAAAAAACTCCAACTCAACTGTTTTTTTTTTCAGACTAGATTTTTTAACATTCACTTTCACCTAAGACTCAATAAATACCTCAGTCTATGATTTCCTATTAGGTGAACCTAAGGAAGTGAAATAAAAGTTATGGAAAATCACAATCCATTTACCACAAGCAGATGATAATAATTAACAGAGACAAAAAATCTAAAAAATGAATTCCAGCTATGATTTGTGTACCATCTAGAATGGCAGCTTTTTGGTATATTATACCTAAACCTGGTGGCAACTCCACAAATGTTATCTCCAGTTTACACTTAAGAAACTAAGGTTCTAAGAAGTTTTATTACATTTGACAAGAACCGCATGGTTTTTGAGGAAAGAGAAGCCACGTTAGTCAGTTTCCAATATTTATACTTTTCAATACGTTATTGAAGATCCCTCATTAATAATTACCAACTATGTGGAAGTATTTATATACCACTGGATGATTTGTGGAATGGGGGCAGCAATATAGCTCAGTGGTACATTGCCTGCCGGGCAAGCACAAATTCGTGAGTTCCATTTCCAGTACCCACCCCCACCACCAAAAAAAAAAAACAAAAAAAAAAACTTTTCAGGTGAAAAATATAAAGAACAGCTAGTGCAAAGGATATGTCACTGGGCTGGGGATACAGTTTAGCAGCACAGTGCCTGCCTGGCAAGTGTGAGGTCATGAGTTCAATTCCCAATTAGAAAAAAAAAGAGAGAGAGACAAAAAAAGAAAAGATTTGTAGAGAAACAAAAATGAAAGAGAAAGTTATAATCTTTTCAAAATATGTAAGTGATAAAAATGGGAGCCTCATGTTTACTTCTTTACATAATGCCCAAATTTATCCCCTTGAGATTACCATAAGGAGTACAAATCTTGTAAACAGATCAGTAAAAGGAAAGACCAAAGGTACAATCTGTTGAAGTATATTAATGACAAGAAGTATTTTCAATTCAACTTTTCCCATTAAAATTCAAAGTCTCTAGTCTCAAATCATTTTAAAAGACAAGCTTTCTAAAGATATCTCCACTCCACCATTATTAGATGACATACTGGTAACATGACAAAAATAAGCAGGCAGAGCCTACAGGTTAAAATAAAACACTGCAAGCACCCTTAACTAAAAAAAAGGAAGGGTACCACCGACCTTCTTCCTGGGTCACACAAGGAATAAACAGGTCCTCATTGTTCCTCTCCAACTTACACCGTCAGGGAAACTCCTCTCCAGCTCCTGGACAGTCAGTTTCCATACTCCAATATATTCAAAGAAAATGTCCAACAGCCCCTTTATTTCTCCAGTAATTTATTTTTCTGTTGTTCGAAGATTTTTCCCTCCAAATTCCCTCCTGTCTCTCTCTTCTATCCCCTACACCCCATCCATCTGCATATCTAGGACAGGCTTTCCTTTGTTATTAATTGTTGTGATGCTGGTTAGAAAGAGTCATTCTAGGTTGCCCAATATGGTCTTGAACACAAAGGGTTTTCAAGCAATCCACCTGCCTCCATCACCTCAGCAGTTTGGACTCAAATACATGCTACCATGCCCAGTTCAAACATTTTTCGTAAAGTAAATGTATTTTTCAAAGCAATAATCCAAAAAGATGCTCCACAAGAAAATAATGATTTCTGATAAAGTCACAAAGCACACAAGAGTCTAAGAAATTCTCAAGTAAAGAATCTAACTTTATTAACCAGCTCAAACTCAAATTTATTTAGCTAATGAACCCTTTTCTACGGTAACTATTAATATCCTACAGAACATACATTTAGGAAGACTAATCTTTAATCACTGATTAAAACATACAAGCAAAATACCATACTTGACCCTGTATTCTAAATGGTTTAGAAAATGATACTGCCTTTGGAAAAAACAAAAATGAATTTATACAGAAAATAATTAGCAAATTGCTCAGTGAAAACACTGTATATATATATTACTTTACCTAAATTCATTTGAAAATTTAAACTGTAAACACCAATTGTAATTTTCTGATTCTAGAGTCACATGGCAGGGAGCAGTAAAAAGCAAGAATTTTTTAATATAAGTATATAGAATATAACAGGGTATTTTACAAGTATTAAAATTTAATTTTGTTTTCATGTTTGATCTTTTTTCCAAGTGAAAGAATGGGATTTTATGAATTTTCTGAACCAACAAATACACAGACATGCTGTATTATACTTTTTAAAACACATTTTATACAATTACCAAACAACAGTAATGAAAATGTCAGTTTTCTCTGTAAGGTAAACTACAAATCACTAACACCGGGGTTTTAGAGAGAAATGCTACAATTCACACATTGTACCTGAAGGCTCCGTAAAGTGGTCTATACCAGCAGACAAATGAGCAAGGTGTGAACAGCACAAACCACAGGATGCTCAGTCCAAAATCAACCCCTCTGGAGGAGTCCACAAAAAACCAAGCCAGACATCCAAAGATATTCAGAAACAGTGTTACAGCGTGGACTGTGGGGTCAGAAAACAAAAATAGAAAAGAAACATTTATATTCACTTAACAAAATTATAAATTAAAAAAAGTAAAAACCTTCTAGGAGCAAACATATTCTACCTCATCTTTCCTTTCTATTTAGCATTATTAAAAACATGCTATTTCTTTTATATTTAATATGTAAACCAAGTATACACAGGAAAGTGAGTCCTGAAACACGCAGAGCTGCCCAAGACTTCATCGGTCCTTTCTTCCTAGTAGGCAATTACACAGCCAAACCAAAAAAGCACTGCATTTAGGCCATCTCTGAGAAGGAAATTGTGTGATGTGCACCTTGATCCAAGGCCCAAGATGAAAAACAGTGCACACTAAAAAATAACCAGAACCTGGGAGAAGACCCTATACTCAAAAGCTATTTTTAGAGACTAAAACTGGAGTCAAAGTACAAAGGGAGTAGCAATTTCCAGTGACTACACAGTCAATCGAAAAAGATTAGTAATTCATCTTCATAGAAGTTGTCCAATTTTAAAGTCCTAGGGGGAAAAAAAACTGTAGTTTGGTAGAGGATTAAAGTCATTAACACACCCTTACCCACGCACATACACAATAGGATGCACTTCAATAGCTATTCCCCTTGGGTAACAGAAATAGGTCTTAGCAAACTCTTCTCAGCTGTTAATAATGACTTTCCCTAATAGATAAAGACAAAACATTTGACTGATGCGCTATGACCCACATGTATCCATTATAATTAATAACTTTAAATGATTCTTTAAACCTTATTCTTCAGTTGAATTTATTATAGAAAATAAATACTCATGAAAATGCATGCCTGTCCTATCAGGTGGCTTGTACCACTATTGGTAGTACAAACAGATCTAATCACTTTTATTGGTCTTTTTACTAACAAAATCAATAGAAAGCTGCCCTATGGGACAGACATGCATGTACCACTGGGCTCAAGATACCTGGCAGCGAGACACATGAATTGTAACCCAGAGTGAATGTGTTAGGCCCAGCACTCAAGTTCTGTGAGCTTGTTTTTCAGCTATAGAAACCCAGAAACTCTTCAAGTTTCAAAATTTCATTTCCTTTTATCACATATGTAAAACCCTGTTCCTATTAAGAATATTTAAGTCTCATGAAAGCTAGCTTGCTAACAAATTTACTCAAAATCGTCTTCCTCAAAATAAAGGCAGTTGTGGTAAGGAAGTAACAACAGAATTCAAAATTTAAGTTCTGTATAATTAAATGAAGTCAGTTTAGGAAAATTTTGTAATGTTAAGAAAATTCCACTTCACAGGAATAATTTTAAAAGTTTATCTACTAATCCATTTAAAGAAAAAGAGACAACATACATGCATACGTATGCTTTGAAATACCAACAAGTTCTTCCAAGTAGAGTTAAAATTATCAATTTAATGTTATGCAAATCTTTTCACACTAACCAATATCCCTTATCAATAAGTCATTGGCTTATATACTGGTAAACGCTAACATGTTTAGGACTATTTACTAAGCAATCTATCTGCTTAGAGTTCATAAAAACATTTACGAAGGCCAGGCAATATGCAATTCAGATCTAGGTTGATAATTTCAATCCCACTGAAAGAAGCAATGAATTCATGCTGGAGGACTCCAAAAACAGACACAACACTAAAGAAATCTTAGGGCAGTTTCATTATTTGTAGCTGGAACAACTCTCTTTGATATAAAATTTCAATCTACTTTATTAGGCAATGTGATCCTAATGGGCCTACATTTGAAACCATCACTATAATATTCTTATTAAGTTATGGGTTATAATAAAGACATCTAACAAAGTATGTTATTTTTTCTGGAAACATGGTCTGTTTTTCCTTTTTTAATTCAAAAATAAATTACAAACAGATTGAGATTCATTTCACAAGGCTATTTCACAAGGCTATTTCTAATTGCTTCAGTTCATCACAGGGTAAATTACTTGCTTTATACAGATAAGTATGTCTCACTGTTTGCTTGCCTGTTTGTTTTAGGCTGTACAGAGTAAGATTTACTGAAGACCACGCTGACAAGGGCATGGGCCAGGATGGCAGGAAGAGCAGTTCAGTCCCCACAATTAAGTTCAGGAGATGCACATATGGGTTAGCACAAAAGGGACTTCATTCTTGGGGAATGTAGCTGGGTTAGCACAAAAGGGACTTCATTCTTGGGGAATGTAGCTGGCCTTTGTTGAAAAATAAAAATTACTTCCTTTTTTTGTTTTCTACTTTGTAGGTGGTACAACATGGAACTCCAGACCCTGGGCTCTAGAGTCATCCTATCCAACTCTAACATTAATTGTATAATGTTGGACAAGTGACTCAATTTCTCTGAGCTTTTGTTTACCTATTTTAAAAAAAACAAATAATAAAATGCTTACTTCTTAGTGTGGTTAAGATTTGATAAGATAAAATATATAAAGTGATTAGAACTGTGCCTGGCACAAAGTAAATCTTCAACAAATATTGAGTTTTCTCATTATAATCATTATTACACTATAAAAACAGTAACTTGAAATTTCTTCAAAATAGCATACTAGGCTCGGTATGCTGGTACACACCTGTAATCCCAGCACTCAGGAGGCTGAGGCAGGAAGACTGCTGTGACTGCTGTGAGTTTGGGGCCAGCCTGAACTACAGTGAGACCCTGTCTCAAAAAAAAAAAATCAAAAAAACAAAAAACAAAGCATACCAAAACAACTTATGAAAGCATATTCTATATAATTTAGGCACATTATTGCAGTGGTAGTAAATCATGTTTTATTCCAATTAATGCTTCTTTAAAATACAATATAACTGGGATAAGGAGCCCTCTTTAATACCAATTAACATAGCCATCACCTAAATAGGTTTTGAATAGAAAACTATTCTTAACTATGTTATTCTGAGAAACTCAGAAAGTTACTTATTTCTAAGACAAAAGAGCTCTATTTTGAAACCAATGTTAAAGCAGTTTACCATTTGGTTAAAATTAACTATAGACTTCTACTCAATCAATATTCACTAAATTCACTAATTTTCTTCCAGTCCTATGTCCTTCCACCAAGAAAAGCAACTTTTAAATTCAAATAATGTGACTAAAATACTAGGTAAGTTTCTGCCCATTTTTAAAATGTACATAAAATAGATATTATGTAAAACATGAGTCTATTAATATATACTACTAAATATATATACATATACATTGGTGCATGAGAGATTCAGCAAAAGATATTAAACCAAGAATAAATTCTCAACAAGAAACTAAGTTACAGACGTACTAACCAAAAAGAACCAATTCAAATTCCAAAACTACTTTATTGATGGGAAGAGTGCTCCTAAAAGATTTAAGAAAATTATTTCATCTCGTTAGGGGGAACAAGAGCCCCTCATTAAAATCACACAAAAATCTCCTTCATTCAGAATGCACCCTATAAATTCTCCATTTCCCAAATATTGTGGACGTAAGACGCCACTACTGCTGTTATCCATGACATAATGACATCAAAACAGAATAAAACAAAACAGATAGTAGAAGGCTAGGTACATTCAGCAAAACTGCTAACAGTTTGACATTTTAATTTAGTGTTCCATATGCTATCATTATATACAGAGCAATGTAAGCATCACAGCCTAAGATATATGCTCTAATGTTCTTTTCAATAAAACGTCCTACATTACTCAAGTACTTTTTTTTAATTTTTTTTTAGTACTTTCAAAAATAAAAATATTCACAACTACTTGAAAACAAAAAGTGATGAGCTATTTTTAAAATTACACTTCATAGTATTACAGTAGTTTATGTCTCACTTTAAAAACAGCCATAATATCTATACTTAACAGAACTTAAATTGTCTTTCTCTGCATAAAAATAGTACACATAAGTTTTTAAAGCAAATTATTCATATCTATATAACATTCTTTAAGGAAAAAGGACCATTATGAAATCACTTATGTGACAGAGAAATTGCCCTTTCTTCAACAAAGTGCTAGTTCTCAAAAATACAGGTTTTCTTCAGGCACTGACTGACATCATCACATACATTATGGTTGTGAAGTACATAAATAATGGTGTCTCACTCTGAAAAAGATGTTTACTATACTAGCCTTAATAGATTAGTTGAAAACAAAGATAAATTTTAATAACAAAAGTATGAACTATAAATAATGTAATTTATTCTATACTCACACATCCACAAGTAGTACATGAGCTTTACTGTCTTCTGGAACTCTACGGGAATGTCTACAGAAAAGTCCTGATAGAAACAAGGTCCCACAGGAAAATTCTCAGGAAGAGGTGGCCAATTATTTTTTCTACCTGTAAATTTAAAGAATACAATCAGTATATTCTATTCTCATTACATAATGACCCCTATTGTTCTAATAAATGCTATTTTAAATTGCAGCACTGTATCTCTATACTCCTACCCCTTTGAAAACCAAGCTTCATATTTTTAAAAATTTTTTCAGAATATAACTTCATAAAACAACAGATGGTGAAATAATTTTCCAATGTCATATTGCATCATATTTAGCAAGTATGAGAAAAAAGGGAGAAGGGCTGGATATTTAGTTCAGTAGCATAAATGCCTCCTTGGCAAGCGCAAGATCATGAGTTTTATCCCTAGTACTGAGGGGTTGGGGGAGTGAGAAATCAGAAAGAAAAAAGAAACAAGAATTTCAAAGTTACAAGTAACTGATTGTCATGAGGAAGCAATTCAGTTTTTCAACTACAATATCTTCCTCAGTACTTTATATTTTTCAGTAAAATTCTGCTATGTGGAGAGGGATGACAAGCATCAGAGTCTCAAGTTTTCTACTGTTAAATTCCACAAAAGCCACAAGATTAAGCTGGCATCCAAGAGTTAAATGTGGAAATCTCAAAGTCTGGGAAAAAATAATACCTAATAGACACATGTAAGAAATCAAAAAAACTGAAAAAAAAAAAAAACATGAAATAGTCATGAGAAATAAAGGAATTAGTGCACCTTCAAAACTCTAAAGAAAAATAAATTCAGGCTGTGAGGAAAGAAAACATGTATAAAGAAATTAGACTGAAAATAAATAAAACAGAGGCCGGGTATGATGGTGTACACTTGTAATTCCAGCACTTGAGAGGCTGAGGCAGGAGGATGGCTATGATTTTTCGAAGGCCAGCCTGGACTACAAAGTGAGTTCCATGCCAGCCTGAACCAGACAGGGTAACCCTGTCTCATAAAGATCAAAAAAAAAAAAGGAAGTTGGAAGGAAGTTGGGGGGAATAAGAAGTGAAATGTTGAGGAACATTAAAAGGCAAAAACCAGAACATTAGAGGGTAAAAATACAAACTGAAGACTATTTTCTAATTTTAAATACTCTATCTCACAACTTACGGTTCTAGTCACAGAATCCAATTTTACATAATTTTTCTAAACCAATTTTGTGTGTGTATGTGGTGGGTTTGGTTGGTTGGTTTTTATTTGTATATTTGTTTGTTTTTGAGACTATAGTCCTGGGTGACCTCAAACTTTGAAACACCCCTACTCTGCCTACTGAGTTTTATGATTACAGGTGTGTGCCATCACAACTTAGCGGAGGTCATTTTTCAGAGTGGAAAAAAGCACAACTTCATTCTGACTCTTCCCGACATGTCTTTTCTGTTGCATTGATTATACATCCAAATTTTATGTAGTTCAGACACTTTTATACCAGTCCCAGGGTATTTGAGCAACAGCAAAGAACAGTAATAAGAATTCAGGTTCTGAAACCAGAGGGCCAAGCCACTAAGGGGCAACTGATCAAAGGTAACCTTTCAGAGTGTAAATTCTACATCTGTAAAATGCGAATGACAACTGGACCATCCTTCACAGGATAGTTTTGAGGATTAAATATGAGTTTGTGAGAAGTACTGAAATGTACTCACAGACAACTCAATTAACTCTGTTAATTTCTCACTCTTCATTACTTTCTTTATTAAAACCTCTCTCATAGAAATAACTTGAACTCATCAATGCTAAGAAAATAAGACAGATTTCAGCTATGGATATTTCAGAAACAAAGCCCTTAAATTAAATATTTAGTTTTTCCTTTATAGATGCTATCTCTGTACTGCAAATAAGAAAAGGACCCAGAGTAAACTATCCAGGTAGAGGCCCTAGACCTGTATACTCTAAGGCAAGGAAGAAGCCATTCTTCATTGTGTACTGCATTACTGTTCTTAGTCCATCACTATCCCAGGTATCCTAATGATGACTTACTTACCTCCAGCTGTTGTCCCTTCTTATCCAGACACTGCTAACTTTTCCTAAGATACTCCCTTGAAGTGATCTTGGTGGTCATAGCCTGAATAGGTTCCATAGCAAATAATTCAGCACTGATTTTTCTTTGGCAGCATATAAATACACTAATCTTCCAAGGGTCACCACAAACATACTTTAACACATTTCTGAGGACCAGGGCAGATAACTGAACCTGGTCTGAGTAAATCAGGTTAAGGGTCAAACATGGGGCAACACACATTCAAATGTTCTCAAATTCTGCAGATCCAGAGAGAGCCCAAGTACGGAATCAAAGGCTCCTAGGTTTAGGATGAACGAAAGTTATCACATCTGCATTTGCTTTCTCTGTGGTGGGCCAACACTGTTCTTAGCTATCAAAAAAAGACTATGCAAATCAACCAAGATCACAGAATACACAGCATCAAGTAGGCAATTTGCCTTGTCTGATCTCCTTGTTAGAACAGGAAAACAAGCCAGGGTTTTATCCATACACAAAATGACCTATAGCTAGAATAAATACTTCTATTTTAAACTCTTTTGGATACTACCATGTTGACTGAGGTTTTGCATTTCTCGTTCTCGACGATCTAATTCTGCAGCTTTTCTTTCTAGTTCTTCTTGCCGCTTAAGAAGTTCAGCTTGAGCGAGGGCATGTTCCTTAAACAAAAGTTATCAATACATGAACAGCTTGCAGAAGTATAAAACACTCTTAACACTTATATGCTACCCCTACTTCTTTCTCTATCATAGAAATCTAATTCAAATTGATTCCAAAATGCAGAATTAAAGATTATAGTTTCATAAAACATCACATGGATTTGGCTCTGTGTAAACAGAATCCACAGGACAGGAAAAAAAATCCTCTCAGTGTGAGCAATCAGAGTCAGAAGTCACCTGGAAAATGAAATTAACATGACCTCTGTGCCTTGTGGTGTTAAGGAGAGAAGCAAAGGGAACAAGTGAGGAAAAGGATAGAAAAAGAGCAACTGAGTCAGCTTTGACAAACTGGGTTAAATGACACATAAGCTCCCAGCAATGCAAGATTATTTTATAATGGCTTAAATGTGGTAAGAGATTGTGGCAGAAGAAGCATATGGTTAAGAAATTTTGGTCCCTAAGCCCATCTGCCCATATATGACACCAGACAACTTCTTCTCCTCTTAGATTTTTGTTATCTACTTCCTCCTCCTATCACTGCCTACTCATTACAACCCTTTCTCTAGAATATCTTACCATTCTGTCATTTAGTATTGTACATTGACTTAAGACCAAATTCAAGAAAAAATTTCACTATACAAATTGTAACCAAGATGATAAATGAATTCAATAATTCCTAATAATGGAATAAGGCAAATGTAGAAACTGACAGAGATGTGAACACTTGTAGCTAATCCAAACTCAAAAGTAAGTTAAAATTTTAAAATAAGGAATGTGATGATACAATTACAGTATCTCTAATACAATATTAATGTTAGTAATATAATTTCTGATATAAATTTAGACAGTAAACGTTAACTAACCTTTGCAATCTGTGTATAAGCTGGATGTTCCTCTGTTGGTTTCATTATTGCTGGCTGTGTATTAGGTACATTAGGCATTTTCACACTGCCTGGTGGAGGCTAGAGAGATTAAGAAAAGGATAAATTATACAACACAGAGTCCAATTTTAACTTCTCTCAAAAGTTACAATACTAATAAAAAGCAAAATCCAGATCAGCCTTTCTCTCCTGTCTTCTCTTAGTCACACATATGGCAAAGAACCGTTGAAGCTTTCATCTCTGTATTTTCTAACTCATTCATTGTTGAACTGTACAAACACCCATGCTACACGACAAACTCTTCTCCAGGACACTATGCTTTAAACATGTTTTAAAACATGTTCTACTATGCCCCTACAGTATGTTCTACTATGCCCCTACAGTAAAATGCATAGCAAACCAAGGGACCAACCAAACAAGCAGCAAGACACAGTGGCATGGACCTACAGTCTAGCTACTCAGGAGGTGGAGAAAAACTGCTAGAGCCCAGAGTCCAAAGCCAGCCTGCTCCACATAACAAGATCTCATCTCTGAGCCAGTACTCTGAAAAGCATAGAGCCAATCTCTTGGTAGAATCTCACTAAGAATGCTTTAAAAGAGAAAGAGAGAAAGCATAAGGAAATGGAAAATAAACTAAATAAAACTACAAAACCTCCACTTTGCCAAAGAAGCTCAGCATTACTCAAAAGGAGCTAGCTGTAAGTCATGTAACGGGAAACTGGTTAAACCACCATACATGCAGCACAGACATCACGAAGATATGTTGCAACGAACAAAAAATGATATCTAAATGCTAAGGGAAGCAAAGCAAACTACAGAAAAGCATGCAGATGATCTTTTTAAATAAACATCTATACATGCTCAGAAAAACATCTAGAAGGTCACAACAAACAATTATCTGGACTTTAGCCTAGTACCACATATTTACACCACTTTTTAAAGTGGCTTTTAATCAAATTTTTCAAGTGCTATTTAGAAAGGTTGTAAAGAAGACAAGAAACAAGGATGGGAAAATGAAAAGGCAGGGCAATGAGAGGAAAGAGGAGAGGGGAGGGGAGGGATAGGGAGAGAGCAAATAAGGAAGGCTACAGCAAGCTAAGAAGGCAAGAACTGCGTGTAACACCAAACTCAATAGTCAGAACTATTAAAAAACACCACAAACACAGCAAGATTTTAGCCCGCCACAGCTGACAGAAGCCTTGAAAAGGAAACCAAACTCAATCAAAGATATAACTGGAATATATCTGATTCTAAAATTCATAAGGAAAAATAAAAACCAATGAATACTTGGTTTCTGAAGAGAAATAAGAGAAATAAGACAGGGGACCCATGATATTAATACTTACTGTAAGACCATCTATTTAGGAGCATGGTACATATAAGAACAGAAAAATATACCAACAAACAAAACAATCAGATACAAACCCACATAAATGCAAGAAACCAAATCCTAAAGGCAGTACTACAAAATACTAAACAAATACTCTTTTTAGTCATTAAATGGTACTGGGATAACCACATAATCACCTAAAAAAAAAACTAAGTTTCTTACTTCATACCATCTGTGAAAATAAATTCAAGGCAGACGAATGACCAAACAGTAAAGCTTAAATTTTTTAGTGTAAAATGAGGTGATTATTTTTATAAACTCAAGGTTTAAAAACTTCTTGAATGTGACATCTGGATATTTTCTGTTTTTTGTTTATGATATATCCCAAGGGCCTAAAACACTACCTAGAACACAGTGTATATTCAGTAATTCTTCATCACATTAAGTAAGACCAGGAAACATACAAATCATAAAAGAAAAGATTGACAAATTTATTTATTTTGAAATTTAATAAAATGTAACAAAAAAGTCAAATCATAAACTAGAGAAAATTACTGCCTACACCCAGAAAATATAAATGTTACAAATTCATACAAATAAAAACTACTTGAAAATCTGAATTGGCAATACAGAGAAGTGAAAACAGCAATAAGCAATCAACATGTGAAAATACATGCTACTTCACTTCACTGATAACCAGAAAGCATAAAAAGATAACATATCATTTTTTTAAACTGTAAGACACAAAACTAAACTGACAATACTATGATTTGGAATTACAATATTACTACAGTGATGGTATACATGAAAATTAAAACACTGGTTAGAAACAGAACAGAGGGACTATTAACAAATGGTGCTGGGTCAATTATTTAAATTTGAGAGAGAGAAAGATTCCTGAATATCAGCAGAATAATTCCAAATAGCAAAAAGCCAAATGTAAAAAGAAAAAAACCTACAAAGTCTCCAGAACACAGTAAAAATATACAGACTAGATGACTATCTAATCTTGGGTAAAACTATACTAAACTACTTAAAGAGATAAGGGGAAAGAAATCATGATGAAAAAGTAAAATTTAAAACTATGAAGATATAAAGTATTAAGCAAGAATAGCAGTCAAAATCAAAATAATAATATACACCAGATATAAAAATAAAATACATCTGGGCATGGTGGCAAACACCTATATTCCCAGCACTCAGGAGGCTGAGGCAGGAGGATTGCTGTGAGGTCAAGACTAGCCTAGACTACATAGTGAGTTCAGGACAGCTTAAATTACATAGTGAAACTCTTGTCTCAAAAAAACAGAAAGAAAGAAAGAAAGAAAGAAAGAAAGAAAGAAAGAAAGAAAGAAAGGGCGAGCTATGTAACTTAAAAATTACATGTTTTAAATGCCTGAACAGATAAACTAGACACAAAGGAAAAAGAAGCATACAATAACTCAACCTCGAAAAATTGCAAGTCTAACCTAATTCATTTAAAATTAGTATTACCATAGTACTACTGCCATGTTTTGGAAAAACTTTCATAAAATAGTATTCTCACATATTGATAGCACCTATGCCAATTCTAAAGCACAATTTGGCAATACGTAACAAGAGTCACTGAAGATTTGTATCCCATAAATAGCTTATTTTTAAAAATATCAAGATAATAATCAAAAATATTCACAAATATGTGTGTCCCCAAAATGCTAACTAAAGCTTCATTTACAAAAGGAGACTTAGAAATAATCCGAAGTCCAACAACATGGAAATAGTCAAATTATGATCCAACCATACAGGAATGTACTATATAGCTATCTAAAAGTTGGGGGTGGGTTTCCTCCATTGTCCCAGGATGGTGGGACTCCCTAGAGGAGACATCCTGAGGAACAGAGACCTCCTACAAAAGGAGTGATAAAGGATATCAGTGATAAGGCAATCTAAAATCAGAAATCCACAAGCATCAACACAGAAAATAAAATAAAATAAAATAGAAAATGACAAGACAAAGAAGCAAAATGCAATCCCAAATACCCAGCCCACGCAGGACAAGTCTAGAACACAAAGAAATATCGGACATTGGAAATCAACAAATGGAACTCTCTGAAATAACACCAGCACAAGTGAAACAACAAATGCAAGAGACACAGAAAAAATAATCTCTAAGGTACAAAAATAAAAAGTGAATATCAAAAAATAAAAGACATTAAAGCAGACACATAAACAAATAGAGGAGCTCAGAAAATGATGGAAACCATGAATGCCAAAAATAGATAGAAATGAAATCAATAAAACAAAAGCCAAACAGAAATACAGACTAGAAACTCTACTGAAAGTACATGTGCAGCAGACTGAATAAAGGCAAAGACAAAATAGCAGATTTAAAGACAGGAATGCAACTAGCAACCAGAAAAAGAAATACATATCTTAAAAATTGCAAGAGACCACACACACACAAAAAAATCAATCCAACAGCTACAGGATGAACCAAAAAAGAACATAAGATTGACTGGAATTAATGAGAAAGCTGGAGACAACTCAAAAACCATTAAAAAAAATCTCTTCACAGAAATGACTGCACAAAACTTCACAAACATGTACAAATAACCTGACATACAAATAAATGAAACATATAAAACTCCAAACACCATGACCAAAATAAACCTATACCAAGGCATATAATAACTGAACTTCCAGAAATTCTGCACAAGAACAAAATATTAAAAGCAGCTAGAGAAAAGAAATACATGACCTATAAAGGAAAACCTGTAAGAATCACAGCAGACTTCAAACCACAAACCTTTAAATCAAGAGGCTGGAGTGAAGTGCTTTAAGACCTAAAGGAAAACAATCTTCAATCCAGATTGATGTACCCCACAAAACTATCTTTCAAAATTGTTTAAGAAATAAGGTAATGCCATAACAAAGAAAAACTGAAGAAATTATGACCATGAAACCAGCTCTAAAGAATGCTCTAAAAAATATATTAGAGAAAATGAAGACCACAAACACAAGAACACCAACAGAAAGAAGCCACCAGGTAGGGCAAGCAATTAAACAGCAGAAAGAAAGGGAATGAACAGTCTATGGCCATACCACCCTGAACACGCCCAATTTCATCTGATCTCAGAAGTTAAACAGGGTCAGGCTTGGTTAGTACTTGGATGGGAGGAAGGGAACAAAAACATATTCAAGCAATTAGGAATGAGAAGGAGAAAATTACAATGGATCTTACAGAAATCCAAGAGATCATCAATACCTACTATGAGAACCTATACTTTAATAAGATTGAAAACCCACAAGAAATGGACACATTCCTAGACACAATCAAAAAGCAAAAACTAAATCAAGAAGATATAAAAATTCTAAATAAACCAGTATCAGCCAATGAAACTGAAAATATAATTAAGAAAAGCTCAGGACTTGACAGATTCACTGTTGAATTTTACAAGAAATTAAGAGTAGAACTAATCATTAGTGCTAAACTTCTTTAAAGAAACTGAAAGGGAAGTAGTACTGTAAGCCAGTCTGAAAGCAATTATTACCCTGATTCCAAAACCAGAGAAGAACTCAACCAAGAAAGGAAACTACAGATTAATCTCCCTAATGATCATAGACGTAAAAATCCTTAATAAGATACTGGCAAACAGAATGCAGCAAATCATCAAGAACATTATACATCATGACCAAGTACAATTCATCCCAGGGATGCAGGGATGGTTCAACATATGTAAATCAATAAATATAATACACATTAACAAAACCA